AAAAAAAAAAAAAAAAGTCACTTGGGTTCCTCACTGGAAGACAAGGAGGCAAGACATCTATACTATACATGTTGTTGTGAAGTACCAGGTAACTCTATGGGGACTAATCCCAATACTTATTTTTCTAAGATTTTATTAAATTTTATTTATTCTTTTTTTTTTTTTGACCAGAGACACAAACACACATACAGAAAGAGAGATATAGAAAGTGAGACAGCAAGCCACCAGGTCCAGGACTTGAACCGTGGTTGCCCATGTGGGAGTGGTTCAGTGCCTTAACAACCGTGCCACCCACTGGTCCCATCCAAACACTTTTGTAAGAAGTGATACGATTGGTTCCTGATCATGATGTGCATTGGTTATTACATGTTGTTTTGGAACTGAAGAGCTTAATACAATTGTAGTTAAGTTTACTGTGGCAAATAACACTTCAACCACATTTGGGTGACTGGTGTGAACTGGAATTCAAATTGGAACCATGCCAAAGCAGGCCTGCCTGTGTATTTAAAGATAGCCATTTTAATGGAGCTCATAATTTCTCTTTACAGGTTAATCTCACCCTACAGATGAAGATAATAGAGCAAGAAAAAGAAATTGAAGAACTAAAGAAGCAGCTAAGCCTCCTTTCTCAGGACAAAGGGATTAAGGATCACACAAAAGATGGGGATGTCCCTGTCTAGCCTTGATTAGGCTGTATCAGTAATATGAAAGTGGACCCAAACTCTTAGTCAACTGGAATGTAAATTTTCAATCTTTACTGGGATATAGATGGTATAATTCTTAGTTGTATTTAGTAAGCCTGCACAGGACTTATTAAAGATATAAAAATACCCTCAAATTGTTTTTTCCTTAAGTAGCTCTCTTATGACATAGTATCTTGAACTTTAAGACTGCTCTAAATTAAACCTATTCTGTTCTTTCTCTTTCCTATCCCATAAACTGTTCCTAATTTCTTAAGTATTAATGTCCAGTCAGTCTCTGAAGTTACCATCAATTATCCTTTAAACCCTGCCTATTGACTACTTACTCCTTTAGAAGGTTGTACTGCAGAAATCAAGTGTGCTCCCTATGCCTCATGGTCCAGGCCAGGCATGCACACCAGCTGGACTGCTCCCAGCTGGGAGTTTGACAGTTGTCAGTCTTCCAGATCCTTTCACACTGGTGCGGAAGTTAATTACCAAGAAGACACCTGGCCAGTTCATTTCCTTAGCTTAGTCAATTTCTACTGACTCTGCTGTCTCTGAGATAAAATTTCAACTTCTTAACACAGTGTAAAACCTCTACAACCTTTCTCTCTGTTCTCCTCATGTACAGCTTAGCATCATTCCAAAACCATACATATTCTTGCAAAGCTTTGTACTTCTTACTCCCAAATGATATCAAAACAGCAGCTCAGATACTACTTTTACTCCATTCACCATGCCTTTCCCACGGTACTTTTTCCTTTATTAAAATAGCATTCAGCTCCCCAACCAATCTATATATTCCTTGAAGGTGGCCATCAGATATAGTCAACTTTTATATTCCAGAAAGAACTTGCCACATAGTTGACAGTCATAATGGAGTATTGTACAAGATCTCACTGAATTTTAAATAAAATGAAAACCACAAATTATATCATATTTTATTGATACTTGACAATTGGCCTAAATAAAAAGACTTTGATTCTAATATAAGTCCCTTTACAGACAATAGGCACAAAACAGTATTATTCTTCAAGTCTAAACTCTTTAAAATCAGTTATTGAAATTCACTTAAGGAGCTTGAGGGCAGTATTAAAAGGGGCCAGGTTTTCACATGACCGCATCCACCTCTGAACATTGGCTGGCACTGGTGCACTGCAACCTCCAGACTGCTGGAGTACTGACCACAGCACCACATCTGCCACAGTTAGTTCGTTCCCAACGATCCAAGGGCTTTTCCCAAGAGCAGAGTTCATGGAACGGAAAACTGCAGCTTTTTCTTTACTACTTCCCTCTTTTAGCTGAAAAATAGCAATGTCTACCCAGCTATCAATGAGGGTTAAATTTACAGCATTATGCTTCTGGCCAAACAGAGAGAATAAGAAACGGGCAATGTTCCCTTCTCCTTCAATGGGGCACATCGTCTGGACACTGAACTTCATCTGTGTCTTCGGCACTGAAAGGCAAAAACATGCCAGGTAGCATCAACAGAGCAGCCCTCACGGGAAGCACTTGCACTGGTGGAAATGGGAAGTCACTAATCATCGTGAACTGATGGCAGGGGGAAGTGTAATTTCAAGGACATATTCTTTAGTCTGTCTCCAAAAGGTTTAATATTTGAGGGTTTAAGTGCAAACTGTTTAAAATAGTAACCAAGTGACCATTTCTGTTATTTGACTAAGACAGTTTTTAAGTTAGAAGGGACCTCACACCATCTACTCCAGCTTGTTACCTAAGGAATGGAAGGCCAAGGTCTGGAACCAGGAGTCTAATCTCAGAGGTTGGGAACTCTTGGCCATCATGATCGCTCTATTTACTGGGTTGTCTGGAACGTCATGATGCATTTTGTATAGGACACCAGAAAAATACGTCATGACTTTCCCAACAACCTAGTAAGTGGGGCTGTGGGCAGCTAAGGTATCACTGTGAACAACATTAATTCATTTCCTTCTGTATAAACTTAAATCAGGAGAGGCATGTATCAGTGAGATAATGAATAAATGATGTTCTCCCAATACAGGGATAGCTTCAGCTCTGGCTGGTAGGGTGGGACCCCTTTCCTCTAGTGCTCAGAGACCCCATCATTGTGAAGAAGAAAGGCATCTTTGCATCAACATTCATCTCTGCTTCTCTTCTATTAGATCTCCCCTGCAAGCTTTGTAGAATTAGAGATGACCTGACTGACCCAAGGGCACAGTGGTGTGGTCGGTTTGCCAAGGACTGTTCTATCTCCCTGCTGCCTCTTATCCAAACCATCTGATAACGTGAGTTTAGCCCAGTCCTCTCTACTTACCATTCTTCCAAATTAAAGTAAAACCCAGTTGATACTCCTGACGGGGCTGTTTTTTAGTCTGTTCTCCAAAGCACTTGAGAAGGTTTTCAGGCACATTCTTCACTGAGGAGTGTGTGTGTACGGTGGACAGGACCCTGTAGTGGTCACAGAGCAGCTGGTGCAGCACGAGCAGAGAGAGGGGAGGGGAGGCTGGGTTTGCATTGATCACGATGTCCTTCAGTGCCCCATAATCTTTTTTTCCAAAACAACGCAGCAAATGACAGCAACGTGGTGGGCATAACTGTACCAGGTGCTACTCTACAGACTCAGCCAAGGTTATTTCAACTCTCACTTCCAGGAAGAAGGCACTAATGACTGCCACTTCACAGCTGACAAAATTCGAGCACGGGGAGTTAGATAACTTACCGAGGGCATTCAGCCCAGTAAGAAGTGGACCTGGGATATGAGCTGATCTCACCTCATTAACTCCTACACTGCTGGCTTTCCAAATAAAAAGTTGACTTTATTGTCAGATTAATAAAACAACGTATTAGGAATGATACTTCTATTTGTCCCTCTTATCTCTGAGAAAGGGCCAGCCCACAGTGTGGTAGTTACGGCAGTGTAACCACCTGTGGTATGGTGGTTAAGGGCACTGGATTCCCACATGGCCAGCCACAGTTCAAGTCCTGGACCTAGCTGCTTGCTTTCTCACTTTCCACCCTCCTCTCTCTCTCTCTCTCTCTCTGTCCCTCTCTGGTCAAATTAGAATAAAATATAATAAACAAATAATAAAGTTAGATTAAAAAATACATTTAAAAAAAATCTCACAAGGGGAGAGATGGAGGAGAAAGGATTTTGGTGTGTTCATTCTTCACTGGGGGGGAAAGGGATCACTCTCTCTCTCTCTCTGACTGGTAAGCACATGGGCCCTCCGGAAAAATTTTAAAAAAAGAAAAAAAAGGAATTATTCCAGCTATCAAGTCTTTCTAAAACCTAACAATATAGCTTTTAAATCAATTTGTGTTCATGATGATTTGATGAAGAACTCCTTAAGAAAGGATCTTGGCTCAAGATATTACTGGTGATGAGAACTGGGGAAATTCTAAAACACTAGGTTAACATCAAGTAAAGTGCCAAAACTTACAGTCTTCTTAAATGAAGATTTTGTTTCTATATTTTCGCTCTTAATAATGAATGCAACTCATATGAACTGTCAAGGCCAAATTACTTGATCCTCTGTACACAGCCTGCTATTCCGGACCCATGTCTTACATGTCAAGCTATGCTGAATACTTTGCAGTTCCCTGAACCACATTACTTGATACTGTGCCTCCTGAAGTATCAAAATTCATTTTGAGCACTGCATGCTCTGAAAAGCCTTCCCAACACCCTGGGAAATAACCATCACAGCTGTGAGTGCTCACAGACTCATCCATTAGACTCTGGTTTCCTGGGGGCCTAGCTAGGTCCTGTCTGAGGTCATGGAAACACATGCTGAGAAGACCACACAGATTTCTTTTTCTTTTTTTCATCAAAATAAAGTCCCTTGTACATGAATGCAGAGGTACTGAAACTACCATAAGCTGAGCCCTGGGCAAGATACTGCACCATTGCTTCCACTCTGCTGTAGTGGCACCGTTCTACCACCAATTTTGGAGGAGGGTGGAAGGAAGGAAGGATGCTTGGGACAAACCCTCTTGCACGGTCAGATAAATACAACTTTGTAATAAGGTTTATATACCAAATTGCTCCTTAAGTTAGCTGAAGCCTATTACTTTCAACCATGTAGGCTGGCTGATGCAAATTTTAATACAAGTTGAGTTTAAGCAAATCATGATTGAAATATTAGACTGTGACTAGCTTTTACCAATATATTTCAAAAGGAGACTGGTGAGATTTTTATGCCTGGGTAGCCAAGGCTCTGCAAACTGGGCTACTCTCAAAAAAAGAATGAGGGTTGCTCTTCTGAACCTCAGAGCACTGAACAAGCAAGTTGAGATCTGCTCTCCAAGGGCTCAGAGGAGGCTACTGGCACAGTGCCTGGAATGGCGGGAGCTTAACTCTTGAATCCCTTCTCCACCTAAAGATCTCTCCCTGTTTTCTAGTTGGTCTGGGAGGTCACGAGGCTTTAGAACTTGTTTTGCATCACTCATACCTCATGAATCTGTTCAGTGGAAAGGCACAATTGTTTAGAGGAAGAATTAACCCTGCTCTTTGCTCTACCTTTGAAAACTAGAGGGCCAAGGCTTTAATTACTCTGGCACAATTTCTGGACACTACCAATAACCCAGCACACTGGCATTTCTCAGCCTTCAAAATGAACTTACCTTTCCAAGTACTGAGTTCAAGTCCAACGCATTGGTTGTCAAAGGAGTGGGTTCATCTGCTTGAATTATGTTAGTTACATCTAAGTCTGCATCGGGTGTTTGAATCATCTTGGAGAGGCCATCAACTGCAGCTTTCAACTCATATAAACGTTTCAAAATATCATCTTGGCGGGACTCCAAAGCTTGCAGAGACGGATTACATTCTTCCTAAATAAACCAACATGCAAGTTGTTAATTTCTGCTCTCATAAAGCAGTCTGTTTTACTGTTTTTGTCTCATTTGTCTTTGTTCCATGTACTCATCAACCTCCCACCCTTCAAAAGACTTTCCTCACAGTTCAATAGGTTGCTGTAAATGAATCCACAAATGCATTAAAACAAACAACAGGGCCATCAGGTTGCATGGAGGTTAAAGCACTAGACCCCTCATGGCAAACTGCACCATTAAGTCTTGGACCCAGTAGCTTGAAAAATACAGGTGTGTGTGTGTGCGTGCCCAAAATCTACAGAGACTGGAAGAGAACAGATTGTGGTGTGGTCACCCCCCAGGGGGTGAATTTTCATTTTCTCTACCTCTCTTTCTCTGCATCTCTCTGGCAAGTGCATATGCCCCTATAATAAAAACAAAAGACAAAAACAAATATTGTGACTGAAAGTTATACTTTGAAATTGTATGATTCCTATTTCAGGTAATTTAGTCTAAGAACAAAGAAGGGTAGAAAATGAACATAAATTATTCTTTATTCTTAATGACAAACTAATTGAAAATACTTTGGTTACATAAATAGAGATGAGGGAGCAATGAGAATATAACTCAATGATTTATACAAATAGAAGGAAAAGGGGGACCCAGATAAGTTTTTTTTTTTTTTTTTTAAAAAAGGATTTGGCTTAGAAAATGTTCACAGGGTCAAATGATCAATTCTCCAAGTCATTTTCCAGGAAGTTCTGACACATTCATATCTTAAGAGTCACCTAGAACTTCTTCACTGCTGAAATATGTAACTTCATGAGTAGGAAACACATCCTTTACTCATTAAATCTTTGTATCCTGCTTGCCTAGTATGGACTTACTTTAGAGCGCAGTAACAAGATGGGCCATCAGGTGGCGTGGTGGTCAAGGCACTGTACTCCCACAAACTGATCACAGTTTGAATCTCAGACAGGTGGCTTAACAATCACACCAGCTGAGGGGCTGGCAGGTGTGGTGGTTAAGGGTGCTGGACTCCCACATGGCTGACCTTGGTTTGAGTCCCAAACAGGGCGGCTTGCTTTCGTTCTCTCTCTCTCTGATCCTCTCTGTTAAAATTAAAATAAATAAGTAAATAAATAAAGTTAAATAAAATAATTCTTTTTTTAAAAAGATTCTGCTAAAAAAAAAAAGAATAAAAAATCAGGACCAGCAGGCATAATGGCTATTTTGCTAGACTCCCATGTAATCAACTGCAGTTCGAGTCTCGGACCCAGTGGCTTAAACACACTGGGCGCGTGTGTGTGTGTGCCCAAGATCCCGGGAGGAGAATGGAAGAGAAGGAATTGTAGCGTGGTCATTCCCCCTGGGGGGGGGGGTGATTCTTTGCTCTCTGTCTCTCTGTGTCTTTCTGGCGAGCGCTTGTGCCCTATAACAAAAAACTCTCAAAAAAAAAAAAAAAAAATCACACAGGGGGTATGTGCACATGTGCCCCAAATCCCAAGTTGAGATTGGAGGACAAGGGAATGAGGTGTGACCATCCCCCCTGGGGAGTAATTTCTCACTTTCCCTCTAACTGTGTCTCTGCCTCTGGTGGGCGCATGTGCTCTATGGGAAAACCTAAAGAGAGAAAAAAAAGCAGTAACAAGAAACCTTCCAATAAAATCACATTATACAACTTAATTGTGTATTCATAAGCTCTCGCAACAGATAATTCATTCTATATTGAGAATACATTCATTATGTATGAAAAAAGTCACAAATTAACACAAAATTAACACAAAAGAATATGGCAGTGACATTGACTTTATAATAAATATGTACTCAGGATGTAATAGGAGTGAAGAGTACTTTCTCACATTTATGAGCAGAAGAGTTCAATGCTTTTAGGAACATCTATTCCTCCAACAGTCACAAAATAACACCTCCCTCTCTTGCATATCTTATCATGGGGTGCTATCTGTTTTACCTCCCAAATAATTCTGGAAAATCAACCTGCTTCTAAGCCACTGTCATGGCCAAGATCAAGTCACCATTTTTCCACTAGTCTGTATCTTTTTTTTTTTTTTTTTTAAAAGAACTATTTCTGGGACCACCAAGTGATGTGGTGGTTAAGGCGCTGAACACTACCACATGGCTAACCACAGTTTGAATCCCTGACCTGGTGGCTTGCTTTCTCACTGTCCCTCTCTCTCTGGTCAAATTAAAATAAATGAATAAATAAATTAAATTAAAAAATTTTAAAATATATGTACAGATTATACACAATTTTCAAACACATTAAATTAAAAAAAGAATTTTAAAAAATTACTTAATTCTATTTATTAATTCAATCATTTTCATTTGACCAGAGAAAGAGACACACAGAGAGAAGGAAAGTAAGTGAGAAAGCAAGTCACCAGGTCCGGGACTCAAACCAAGGTAGGCCATGTGGGCGTGTCTAGCACCCTAACGATTGTGCCACCTGCTGCCCCCAAGAATTATTTATTTTAAGTTTATTTATTTCAATTCGATCAGAGAGGGATAGAGGGAGAGAGAGAAAAATGAGAAAGCAAGCTACCAGGTCCAGGACTTGAAGCATGATCAGCCATGTGGGAGTCCAGCACCCTTAACCACCATGCTACCTGCCAGCCTCAACCTAGTCTATATCTTCTTTTAAAAAAAAGAATCATTTTATTTGTTTAATTCCATTTGTTATTATTTCTTCAATTTGACTAGAGAGAAAGAGAAAGGAAAAGCAAGAAAACAAGCCAACAGATCCAGGACTCAAACTGTGGTTGGCCATGTGGGAATCCAGTGCCTTTAACCACCATGTCACCTGCTGGCCCCCCTTGTTGATATCTTAACTGGTCACTTTGCACCAACCTGGTCCACTCTCGGGTCCACACCTTAAGATGGCAGCTGGGGGCCTCCCCAGGGCCGACGTGTGGCCTTTGGAACAGCAAGCTGAAGCGGAAAACAAGGTCTGAGAACCTGCAACTTGAGAAGGACAGGACGTCAGTGAGAAACAGATAGGGTTTATTAACTGTTGATGATGACATGTATAGAATTCTCAACTGGATTGGTCTGAGAAGTGTTTCATGACGGGCAAAGTATTTTTACAAGCAAAACGAGAAATAGCAATTGACTGTTTTATAAAAATAATTAGAATAATAAAGATAATGATTGGGGAAAACAGAAAAGATATGGAATGTTGAAGTGGGGAGATTAATGTCTCTGTACTGACTGATGTGCATGGCATTCCCTTTTGAAGAAACAATGTAACACACAGTAAAGTTATATGTAATCCAATGTAATATGAAGAAGATATGAAGATAAAAAATAAAAAAAAATAATAAAAAAAAAAAGAAAGTTCTCTGAAAAAAAAAAAAAACATGTACGTTGATGTGCTTGATTGAGCCAATATACAGTTTATTTTGGATGGAAAATTCATTTGTATGCTGTAATGATGTATAGTGAATTAATGTAAAAAATAAATAAATTTAAAGAGAAAAAAAAAAAAAGATGGCAGCTGGGGACCAGTTGGTGGTGTGGTGGTTAAGGTTGCTGGATCTCTCATGCCAATTTTGTGGTTCAAGTCCTGGACCCTAGTGGCTTGAAAAACATGCCAGGTTTGTGTGTGTGTGTGTGCTGAAAATCCTGAGAGAATGGAGAAGGGACTGTGGCATGGTCATCCCAGGGTGTGCGGGGGTGATGGTGATACTTTCTTACTTTCCCTTTCTCCAACTCTTTCTGGTGAGTACATTCACCGTAGAGCAAATTAAAAAAGAAAAGGAAAGAAAGAAAGAAGGCAGCCTTGACCAGCAGGTGGCATGGAGGTTAAGGTTCTGGATCCCACATGGCTGACTGTGCAGTTCGAGTCTCAGACACAGTGGCTTGAAAATCACACTGAGCATATGTGTGTGTGTGTGTGTGTGTGTGTGTGTGCGTGCGTGCGCCCAAAGTCCCAGGAGAAGGGATTGTGGTATGGCCATCTCCTTAGGGATGATTTCTTTTTCTCCTTCTCCTCCCAGTCCTACCCTCATGACTGCATGTACCTTAGAACAAACTAAAAAATATATATATAAAATATAAAACTCAAATGGGGCCAGTAGGTAGCATGGTGGTTAAGGTGCTAGGCTCCCATATGGCTGACCGTGGTTCAAGTCCTGGACCTGGCAGCTTGCTTTCTCTCTTTCTCTTCTCTAGTAAGTACACGAGAATTGTACAAATTAAAATGATGATGATAAATAAAATTAAATAAATAATTTAAAAAAAAACTAAAAACAAACTAACTCAGATCTTATCACTACTTCTGGGCTCTTAGGATCAGTTAAACCCTTCGCTTGGCTTAATAAATACCCTGTATGATCTGGCCTCTGGCTACCTCCCCCCATATAATTTTGCTCTGCCCTTTAGCCTCACTGTCTCAAGATGCATGACAGGAAGGGCTTCTACCTATGTAATAACCTCATGTTATTCAGTGAGAATCCTCTTAAGTAATTATTTTCAACTTCTTGTTAACCAGCCTGTACTTATACATTATTTTTATTTAAAGAACTATTTTATCTAACTTACTTACTTACTTAATTTATTTATTTAAATTTGACCAGAGAGGAGCAGAGGGGCGGGGAAGTGAGAGAGCAAGCCATTATGTCCAGGACTCAAACCACAGTTGGCCATGTGCGAGTCCAGCGCCCTCAACCACCATACCACCTGCTGGCCCTACTTGTGTATTATTTATGTACAATCATGTCTATTTTTGCAAATGGTAGTAGGTAGCCTGCCCTACTAAGGCTAAAACAACACTGGATTCAAAACTCAGTCAAGGGATCAGCAGTTGGCATAATGTCTATATTGCTAGACTGCCATGTAGTTGACCACAGTTCGAGTCCTGAACCTGGTGGCTTAAACTCACACTGGGTGTGTGTGCGTGCGTGCCCAAGCAAAAACCTCTCCAAAAAACACAAAAACAACAACAGAAACAAAAACTCAGTCAATATTGAAGAATGTCTGAAGTAAGTATTGTATTTGTAGTA